ATAATTTTGACTTTTTTGACCATTGGATTGAACGTTGTTCAATGGTCGGTTTTTTTTAAAATTTCAATGGAACTCGTCACACCGGTGTGACGAGTTCCAACGACTATTTTCAATTTAAAAAGTAGTTGTTGGGTAAAGTAGTATAAATAGAGGTTTGGGTTGGATAGATTTTCACTTGTAATCAAACATTCTACTGAGAGCAAAATCTTTTATGTTGAAGAATTTTTGTTGAAATGACATCAAGGGATGGAATTTTATGTCTTGATGAAGTTCATATTTTGTCGATCGAGTTGACAACGGTAAGTTTAATTTGTTTTATTTCATTTTAGTTTTGACAAAATTATAGTATTATAATAATTATTTTATGTAATTGATTAAATAATTTTTTTCAAATTGTAGCAAGAGAACGAACAATTCGTCATCGAGGAATGACGAATGAAGCCCATCAGCGGATGATGATATATTTTTCACAATCGAATTATATGAAGCGACGTTTCTTCGCAAATTTAAGGTGATGCGGCACTGATATCCGTGTTGATTGAGCGTTGGAGGCCCGAAACGCATACGTTTCATTTTCTTGTGGTGAACTGACGATAACTTTGGAAGATATCGCGTATCAACTCGGCGTTCCGATTAATGGTATGTCATTGGTGCTTCGCAACACTTATAAGGTAAATGTTCTTATTTTAAATTTATTGGGAAATGAGGCTCCAACCTATGTCATTGATGGGTTGCGGGTATGGATGACATGGTTGGAAAGAGAATTTAGAGTAGATGAACAATCAACGGAGCAAGAGGTGATATATGCAGCTCGAGCATATCTTTTAACGTTGATTGGAGGGATCTTGCTACCGAATAAATCGGGCAATTTGGTGCACACCCAATATCTTTCGATTATGGAGGATTTCGTTGTATATCGCTAATCTAGTTGGGGTTCTACAATTTTGACATTTTTGTATCGTGAACTATATAAGGTGATCGTAGTCGTTAGAGGAAAAAAAATGAATGTAGCGGGTTGTTTAGTTTTGCTCCAATCATGGGTGTGGTATGGTTTCTCGTTTATGACGCCAATGGGATCATGGGATCATCTTCTTCATCACAGATAATCTCAATTTGAGGCGATGACATCAATGATGGCGTCAAATACCTTGAGTATTCCATCGTTTTCACCCGAAGATGTATATCAAAGTGGTGGAGTAGTGTTCAGAACACCGAAACCAGAATAAGAGGAAAATGAGGAAAGTGGATGACCATGACGAAATCAACGAGCACCATGTCATTACCATTCTACCACGCCTCGACATCGGCAAGAATTGCGCAAATATAAGTAAAATTTGTTTATTTAAGTTTTTTGTAGTCAATATTTAATTGTATAAAAAAATAATTTTTCAGTAATAAAAACTACCTTGATTTTGTGTTTAAAATAACTTTTGCACTTTTATGTATAAAGAAAAATGCATGCAAAACGACCTCTTTAATGCCTTCTATGTTATTAGTTAGGGGGAGTTTATGATTTTTCATGAAAATTAACAATATGTTCAAACTATGCTTAAGTGTATGTTTATTTTCTTGAACATACTTGATTTTCCCAATTAGAGTTGCCTATACCACTGTTCTTTTTGAAATTTTCATCTTATGTGTCTTTGTTGCAATTTTTGAATCATTATGTACACTTAGTATCGATGTTGTTCATCTAGTATCGATATTGTTCATCTAGTACCCATACTATTACTACAGCCTCGATAGGGTATCGATACTAGTCAGATTTTGCTTTGAAGTATCGATACTTCCTTCGAAGTACCAATACTACCTGTCAGGTTCAGCCTATAAAACCCTAAGATATCACAATTTTTCCTAAAACTCTAAAAACAACACTCAGTCGTCGAACCCTCTCTCAAATCCCTCTCTCAACATTGCCTCATTCCATCATTTTGAAGTCGAATTTGCGTTGTTTTTCAACTCTTCAACCTGCTAGCATAATCAAATTAGTGCATTCATCATCAAATTCCATCTCAATCCTAATTTTTAAGGTAATTTTTTAAACCCTGATTTTTTCTTTTCGAATATAGGGCTAGTTTTAGTTAGTTTTTGCTTAAACTAGTGAATGGACTTTACTTATTTTGCATTTTTACACTAAAATCTACAATTTTTTTCCAACAAAATCTTCAAGTTTTGAAATTTTAATTAAAAAAATAATATTTCGTTTGTTTATATATATATATATATATATATATATATTTATACTTTTGTTTTTCATAAAAATAATTTCATAAATTTTTAACACATTATTTTTTAGCTTATTATATTATTAATAATAATATTTTAGTTATAGAATACCTTGAATTGTGGACTCATATTGAGTTTTGGGATTAATTGATTGTATAAATATATATTGTTTATCCTTGTAGGTATAATCTTTATTCTGATTTTCGTTAAAATGTCTAACAAACGTCCTATATCATCACCCTCTCATGCTAATCCACCTCCTAACCCTCCGCCAAATCCTCCTCCCAATCCAACTGAAATGACAATCGTAAACTCTTGTTTTAATGAACCAAATCGTCAAAATCTATACTCCTGATACCTAAATCATTTTGAGTCTTATACTATTAGGGGTGAGCGTCTTCCTTATCTTAAGGCAATGCAAGAGATGAACTTCAAATACCTACCTCTTCTCCAAGCTTGGAAATTTGACAACACGTTCAAAGTAAAACCCGTAGTCTTTCACCAACTTGTCTGCATTTTATATTCTAATGCGGTTTGCATTCAAAATGAATCTCGTACTCAAACTGAAAGTATTCGTTCCTATCTCTTCGACGAATACATTACAATTGATTCTGACTCTATTGCTAGTGTCTTTGGTCTTGAAAACACCGGGATATATAATGAGCGAGATTTTGTCCCTTCTTCCTTAAAATATGAAAAAGCGCTAGTATAACTTTCACAAGAGTTTTCTTCACTTAATTATCTCTTGGTGGTTTCGAGCATCCGGAGGAAAATACTCTTCTTTTTGAAGTATCGACATTTGATGGATTCACTGTTATCAAAACAATAAAAGAATTAATCTTGCTCAAATCATTTTCGGTGAGCTAGTGGACACCATAAACCATATTCCCTCTAAGAGAGTCGAGTCTTTGGTGTATGGTTGTCTTCTTAGTAATTTCTTCATCAAAGCCGGTCTTAGAGTCAATCTAGATGTTGTCATCCCTTAGGTACCCAAATTGATTTTACGTCTCTCCGCAAGTCCAAGGGACTCAAGTTGGTACAAATTGGGAACGATCAACTAAAAAGACACCCGATGCTAGTTTTTCACATGCAGCTCCGGCCCCGACTCCTCCTCATATCGATGATGTTTTTACAGGATGTAGACGATCCTATAAATTGCATCCCTGATGAGCCACCTAGCGATAGTAGTGCGATGCCTCGCTATTTTCAATCGTTGACGGAGACATTGGATCTGAGTTTGCATCCATAAAGTTCCATTTTACTGCATTGGGGACTCAACTGACTGAGATGCAACGCGACACCCATGCTTGATTCGATGTCGTCAATGATAGACTCGATACTCTTTCTCAAGATGCATCTTTCCGTGCACCTCGTTCGGATCTCGATCCACCATCAGATGATTGATAATGTAATTGTTATGCTAGTTGTTCTTTTTTTGACGTTTCAAATATCATACGTTGAACCTTAAATTACTTAACATTTTGATATTTATCGTATTTCACATTTTTATTACCATGTTACCTCTTATTATGTTTATGACCATGCGCACTATTTTGGATATTTTATGTTAAAAATCTGAGTCCTATACTTGAAAAGTTTTTGAAATAATTTTTACTAAGGGTTTCAAACTTTAATCGAGTAAAAATGATTTTTAAATATAGTTGTACTGATACTACTATAACAATACCGATACTGTTAAAGAAGTGCCGATACATATATCGATACTAAAACCCAAAAAAAATGAAATAACCGATAATGCTGATGCATACCGATACGGTAAAACAGAATGCTATAATGGTATCGATATCATATAGGATATCGATACTACTTAGAGTAGTAGTACCGATACTCTGAGTTATGGTACCGGTACTGTCAAACAGAATGCTAAATTGATACTGATATTATATATGATTGATACTACTTAGAGTAGTAGTACTGATACTGCTGAGGCAGTATCGACTGTCAAAACAGAATGCTAAAATGGTACTGATACCATATGATATCGATACTACTTAGAGTAGTACCGATACTGCTGAGGTAGTACCGATACTATTAAAATATAATGCTAGAATGGTACCGATACCATATGTAATATCGATACCACTTAGATTAGTAGCACTGATACTATGAGTAATTGTACCGATACTACTCCTTTAGTTTTGAGTCAGTTAAATTTCCATTGAAATTTTTTTAAAAAATTGAAAATTATTGGCGATGAAACTCGTCACGCCGGCGTGAAGAGTACTTCCAAGTCCATAAAATATTATTTTTTTAATTTTCTTTTAAAAAACAAAAAAAATATTATTTTTTATTGACGAGTCCCTTTTGAAATTTATTTTTTAATCATGCTGTGAGGCCCACCTGACACGACCCATTAAAAAAATTATATCTTATGAGACTGTTGCAATTATTGTAGATCCTAAATTAAAAATTTGGGTGCCTTAATGGACTAATAATTTACTTAGGAGCCGTATGGGCCAATTTGGCCATAGTTGAGAGTTGAGAGAGTCGAAATCAGTAAATGGATGAATAAATAATGAAATAATTTAATTATAAGATAATATTGTTTATAATTTTTTAAATAATTAATAATGTATGTACCCTTTGCAGATACAATTATTCGAGTACACGACCTTTAACGAGAATAACAACACATTTTACTACGGAAACAAAATTTTATATTATTAATATATATGTATTTACTTTTAAAAATATTTTTAGATCTACCAAGAGTGTAGGATGTAGATGTATATATGTGTGTGATTATCGAGTATTGAGGACCGAGTGGACTCAGGATGAAGGAAGATGTCGCAATGGACATGGAAATGGATATACTTAACAAGCTTCCACCACCTCTGGAACGCCGCCCTTCATTGACAACCTCATCAAAAACATTCAAACCGATAACTTACGCTTGCTGCACAGTATCAACAAAGATTACTCAGGTAATGATATTAATAAAACCTACAAATAAAATTATAAAATTTATACGTGGCTGTAGCTGAACTGGAAACTTTTGCAGAGTTGATGTAAAACTACCAACTGTGAAAGTGAGATACAAGAACCTCCGCGTGGAAGCTGAATGTGATGTAGTTCATGGGAAGCCGCTACCTACACTATGGAATTCTTTAAAAACCATGGTTTCTGTATGTTTGTGTATATATATATATATTCCAGGATTAAATGTTGTAGTGCAGCCAACCATGCTTGCTGGACTAAGTTATTTGGATGTTATTGCGCAGTTCCCTGCAGCAGCAAAACTGATGGGTTCGAAATCACGCAGCTAAAATATGCCTTATCGGCGATGTCAGTGGCATCATAAAATCTGGAAGGTGCCATGATTTTTGAAGTTAAAAACTGGGTTGGCTAGATCCATTTCAGAGTTGAATTAATGTATCTAAATTTTTATGCACCATCTGCTAATATACATCTTGCAGGATGACTCTACTTCTTGGTCCTCCAGGACGTGGGAAGACCACCTTGTTGAGGCACTTTCCGGAAATCTAGACCGATCGCTTGGGTATATTCCTACTTTACTTTGATTCATGAAACTTATCCATGCGTATAGTGTGGTGTGTGTATCATTGAGTTGGCTTGCTTCCACTAGGTCACAGGGGAAGTTTCTTATAATGGATACAAACTGGTAGAGTTTGTTCCCCAGAAAACTTGTGCATACATAAGGCAAAATGACTTTCACATTTCTGAGATGACAGTGAGGGAAACACTTGATTTCTCGGCCGTTGTCAGGTCTAAGAAGTCATGCAGGTATATATATTGTTTTCCCTCAGCTAGATATGCCTAATCAGGCTTTAGATTTTGATCCTTGTTCCTCTATTTGTATGGTTTTATGTCACAGAGATGATGATGGAGGTCAGTAGAAGAGAGGCTGAGGCAGGAATTGTCCCTGATCCAGTAATTAATACTTACATGAAGGTGATTGCAAAAGCAATATAAGTTACTTTATTCTTATATATCTTACTATTTAGTATTGATTAATTTACCACAAGCATAAACGATTAACGTGGTTAGTGTTCATTTCCGTAGGCAACATCTGTCAAAGGGCGAAGGGAAACGCTTCAAACCGACTACATACTAAAAGTAATTGTATTAATCAAGCTTAATTTGAAAATCGAATGCATTTTTGTAACGGTTCCTCAATTCTGCTAACATGTTCTGCATTTTGGCCAGATCCTTGGACTTGATATTTGTGCCGAAACCTTATTGGTGATGCTCTAAAAAGAGGTATCTCTGGTGGCCAGAAGAAAAGATTGAGTACAGTTAGTGATTTGCTGGTGTATGTAAATAGCAAAGTTTAGCTGGGAACTAATTATCCCAAAATAGGTAAATGCTAAATCTTTTGGTCGGTTCTGATTTCAGCTTGAATATGGTTTCTCTAACTATGCAGGAGAGATCGTTGTAGGTTCTGTAAAACTTTGTTTACGGATGAAATAACAAATGGACTTGACAGTTCCACTGCATTTCAGATTGTTGCTCGTCTTCAGCAGCTTGTGCATATGATAGATGCAACATTGTTGCTTTCACTGCTACAGCCCGCACCAAACTTTTGATCTCTTTGACGATGTTATCTTGATGGCAGAAGGGAAAAATGTGTATCATGGATCACGAGATCACATCCTCGATTTTTTTTTCGAAAACTGTGGGTTTAGGTGTCCTCCAAGGAAAGCGGTCACGGACTTCCTTCAGGTGGAAAGTGAAATCTAGTTTTTGATCCCTTTCATGCAGTGCAGCCTCCTGCTTCTTCAACTTTAAAGTATTTACGTTTGTATTTTTCAGGTGTTATGCAAGCAAGATCAAGCACAATACTGGTACAGCACTGAGCTGCCCTACTCATATTTTCGGTGGATATGTTCCCCCAGAAATTAAGGCATCCCTCTTGGGAAAAAGATTAGGATCTCTTAGAACCATATGATAAGTCCCAATTCCATAAAGATTCCCTTTCCTTTAGTGAGTACTCTGTTTCTAAATGGGAAATCTTTAAAGCTTGCATGTCAAGGGAGCCTCTACTTTTGAGAAGGAATTCGATCTTTTACGTATTCAAAATAATTCAGGTGAGGATTTCTTCTCTCATTCTGTTTCACAAGTAAACTTATTCATAAAGCTTCTGAAATCTGAACATTGAAACATTAAAATCATCTTCTTTTGGCAGCTTGTCATTGTAGCGTGCGTCACAATGTCTGTATTTTACAAGACACGATGGATCGATATTGTTCATGCGAATTACTACCATCCTCCACTGTTTTTCACTCTCATCATACTTGTGGTGGATGAGTTTCCGGAGGTGTACATGACAATTTCAAGACTCCCAGTTTTCTATAAGCAGAAAATGTTATGCTTTTACCCAGCTTGGGCGTATGCAATTCCAACAGCCATTTTAAAGCTTCCTATTCTTTTTTGCAATCCCTGATTTGGACATCTATCACTTACTTCACATGGGATATGCTCCTGAGGTTTGTGGATGAGTTTCCGGAGGTGTACATGACAATTTCAAGACTCCCAGTTTTCTATAAGCAGAAAATGTTATGCTTTTACCCAGCTTGGGCGTATGCAATTCCAACAGCCATTTTAAAGCTTCCTATTTCTTTTTTGCAATCCCTGATTTGGACATCTATCACTTACTTCACAATGGGATATGCTCCTGAGGTTTCAAGGTGAAAATAGAAAATATAGAATACTAATAGTATTGATGGAATTGGAAAGAAAATATTATTTTCTTCATAGCATACACAAGCAAACAAGATTTATTCTGGTTGGTGAGCCTAAAAATTTGTGATGTTTTCAGGTTTTTCTGTCAGTTTGTGACGTTTTTTGCGGTACAAGTGACAGCAATATCCTTGTTCCGATTTGGCTTCCATTTTCCAGAATTTTAATTCTTCAGTGGCAGCTTCTAGCCTCATAATCATTTACACTGGTTATTCTGTGGCTTCGTCATTCCGTGGCGTAGAGTTCTTCCGACCCTCTTCATCAGCTTATTTAAATGATCCCTGTAAAGGTTCATACTAGTTAATTTTTTCCTTCCTTGCAGCATCCTGGCCTGGTTGGATGAAGTGGCTTTTTTGGGTTTCTCCTATGTCATATGCAGAGATAGCGGAAACGAATTTCTTCCTCGACGATGGCAACAGGTGAGATTCAATGGTTGAAATGTACTACTTTATTTCATGTGCTTAAGCAGCCTTCTTCAAAAGGATGGATTATTTCAATTATGATATTTATAGCAAACACCTGCAGGATCACAAAAAGATGTTAACAATTGATTACGGTTGTACGACTGACTCGCTGCTTGCTTAATGGAAGTTCTCAGCAAAGCAGAAACTGTATTTTACTTTCCATTTTTTATTTTATTTTGCAGATGCTGACCATGGGCATTACAATAGGACAAGCAACACTAGAGAGTCGTGGACTAAGCTTCGATGAACATCTTTTCTGGATAGCAATAGCTGCATTGTTTGGTTTTGCTATAGTTTATAACATAGGATTCACGTTGGCCCTAGGTTTCTTGAAGCGTAAGTTCATCTTTTCGGTTCTTCGGAACAATTTTCTATGTTTTAACTTATTAATAAGAGAAATACACGGTTATTTACCATTGAAATTTGGAACATATGCAGCACCGGGATGGTCCCGTGTTATGCTTACACGCACAAAGCTTTCTGGGATACAGAAGGGGGATTCTTGTGGGGTGAAGGCATGGAGAGTGAATCAAGCAATTTGGATTCTTCTGGTAAGAAGCCAGCTATTAATGATTATTCCTAGTTTTTCGTTATAAAATTGTTCTTTCCGTTATCATTCTCATATTTATGGTTGCTTTGTCTACATCACAGGCAGGATGGTATTACCTTTTGAACCTTTAACATTAACCTTTCAGAACGTGCAATACTATATCGACACCCCTTCGGTAATCAAAACATTCTTCTTTGGCAAAATCATATTCCTAAGCCATGGAATCTTGATGCACTGTTTCTTCTTGGCTTTAGGAATGAGAAAAAGAGGATACTCTCAGAGAAAGTTGCAACTCCTTTCAAATGTTACAGGAGCACTACGACCTGGTATTCTAACAGCATTGATGGGTACTAGTGAAGCAGGAAAAAACGACTCTTCTCGATGTCCTTGCAGGGAGAAAAACTACAGGCCGCATATACGGAGAAATTAAAGTTGGTGGATATCCTAAAGTAGGAACTGTCTTTCGGTTGGGCCCAGAATTGAGCTTCGACTTGAATAATTGGATTAGAGTCGCCACCTATCATTTTAAAAAATATTTAGGTAGATCGGACATCATTACTTGATCTGCGCTTTTCCAGAAATATGTCGGGTTCGGGAATCAGTTACGGTCAAGGAAGGATTAAAACCCTTGAACTGCCCTTTTGATTTCAATTAATTTTCGTGTCTTAGTAGCGAAAATTAAAATTTAAAACATTCATTTCGAATAATTACCTTTGATTGATTGAAAGTATTCTTAAAAAGTCCAAATTGTTAGATAATAAATAATATATAAACATTAAATAAATCAAGGGAAAAATAAAATTATGAAATAAATAAATTATAAAAGACTTAAATTAAGGAATAAGTTAAAGCCTAATAACAAGATTAAAATAATAAAATATGCAATGAATTCATAGGAGTGAATATTCGAAACAAAAAAAAACAAGGTATGGAACGAATTTAATTTAAAATATAGGATCTACAATACCAATTAAACACTTATCTTCTAAACAAATCTTAAGAACCAAAACGAAAGTCTCTCAAATACTATGGCCAAAGTCCAAATACCATATGTATGAATACAAACAACCACATGCTAAAATATAAACACCTATAAATGTAGTATCCAAAATTGAATAATTTCATAAATGCATCAATCATAAACGATGATAAAAATGAGAGTACAAATAAAAAAAACTCGAAATAAAAGGAAATAAATTCCATTCAATGACTGAAATGCAAATTTACAAAACAAAACACTGAAATGTAAACTTTACCAAATACAAACCTTTTATTGCGATTACACCACATGCGGGACCCTAACTCATTTCACGCCAAAGATGTAATCCAAAACAAAATTTGAACCGGGCCCCACAATTTCATTTCACTTTTCTAAAACCTAAAGCTCTCTCATTTTCCTCTCTACTTCCTTTACGCCGCAGAGCATGGTGAGACTTGCAAGTCTCTCATGCCACCGTGAATTGATGGCTTCGGTTGTGACTTTTAAGGCTCCGGTGAAGCTACCAAAGGCCAGATCTTCTCTAAAAGGAATGTTTCTCTTCTTCTTTTTTATTTTTTTCCCTCGAAGGGTTTTTTTTTGCTCAAAACTCCAATGGTCTTTTCAAATCTCTCTATTTTCTCTGATTTTTTCTCCGTATTTTTTTATGTTCGAGACCCCTCCAACTGGGTCCTCTGTATTTCTCCCCCTTCAAGCCTTCGGGTTTCCCCTTCACATATAGTAGCATGCATGAGAGTTTAGTGGTGGAGTAGTTTGCATCAAACCCAGATTTTGCGGGATTTCTTCTGTTATTTGAATGGGTTTAGTGGATTTGAAAGTAGATTTAGTGGGATTGGGTTGTTCTGGTGATGGTTTGTTGATTTTTTTCATTGATGGGCGAAAAGTAGTGTCTACACTAGGATATCTGGTTATTGTGAACAAAATGACATACATTCTCCGTAAATCATTGTACAAGAATCTATATTTTTTTCAGTTTTGTTGCGCCTGACTTCTCATATTGACTCTAAAACTAGAGCTGTAAGATTATCAAATCTAAAAGAAAATGTTTTCATATCAACAAAAGTTTGAGTAAAGTTGTGATGAAGTTGATTTTGATGACATTTCAGGTGTTCGTTAAAGACGTTCTTGAGATTATGGAACACAATGAAGTCAAGGATGCCTTAGTTGGGATACCTGGTATTTCTGGTTTATCAAACGCACAACATAAGCGGCTTACAATAGCAGTCGAGCTTGTTGCTAACCCCTCCGTAATTTTCATGGATGAACCTATATCTGGCTTGGATGCAAGAGCAGCAGCCATTGTCATGCGTGCAGTCAAGAATGTTGTTGACACATGTCGAACAATTATTTGTACAATCCACCAATCAAGCTGTAGATACTCGTTTTTATCTGGATTCTCGTTTTATTAATTATTATTAAATATTATTATTATTTATTATTATTATTATTAATTATATTTTACACATTTATAGGCCCAAATGAGGCCCAATACATGCCCAACAGTCAAACTCAGACCCAATTACAACCAGATCTAACCCGAAGCCCAACTGCAACTGAAGCCCGATCTTGATCCGACCAGTTAGTGTTTTAAAAACACTATATGTTCATCTCAACAATCAGTCATCGATGTGCACAAAATTTGGACCGTTCATAGGCACGTGTGATGCATATGTCGTCTCTTTATCTCCCAATCGGCGCGTGAATCACCGTCGATCACTCCTGAACCTTCGTCGTTATCAATTTACATTAACAACCCCAAATCAGAGAAAACAATAGCCTAAATCAAAACCCATTAAAAATATATTAAATTCTGAAAAATCAGGATTTCATCAGTAAGATTCAGAAAAATAATATGCCTACATCCTAGATATCACCATCTCCCAAAAAAATGTAACCATAAATCAAGAAAATGAGAAGGAGAAAAACAGAAATCATTGGGGAGAAAAAAAAAAAGAACAACCAGAAAAATCAGAGAAAGAGAGACTGAGATGTTCGGAAAAAAATAAAAACAAAAAAGAGAACGATTTCGAACTAAAGAGAGAGAAAAACTTACCTTGAGGGAGATTCGATCGTCAATGGCTTCTCCGAAATGTGAAAACCCTATCTTAAGGTAAAGATTTTTTTTTAGATTTGTTTTTGGGAGACTCGGTTTTAGGTTGGTTTTAGAGAGAGACAGAAGAGATGAGAGAGGAAAAGCTGAGGGCTTATTAGGGGTTCAGTTAGCCACACCCTAGTTGTCGCTTCACGGCAGCCGGGGCTTTCTCCCTACGACGGTGGAGTGAAGGAGGGGAGGGGAAGTTAGAGAGATTTTATTATCTCTCTCTGGTGTTGAATGAAAAAAAGGAGTAAATGGGGAGAAGGGACGGTTTTGGCCTTGATATCGAATATATATATATGCGGTGTTCGAAACGACAGCGTTTTGACGAAGAGGGGGAGACCGAGTGCTGGGATTTAAGGGATATTATCAGTTTTGTTCCTTCACCTTTGTAATTTCACCCGTGTCTTTAAATTGTTGTGGGCTAATTACTTTTTAGATCCTCCCTCGTTTGTAATATGTTATTTTGGTGCTTAATGAAACTTTGTATTTCTTTGATTTTGGTCTCTCTATTTAGTTTACATTTTATTATTGCCCTATTTACATAAATGACCTATTTATATGTATATTATTAATCTAGTATCTGTATTTTTAATCGGTTTATGTTAGGTATTATATGTTTGTTTTAATGCGTTTTAGTCACTTTTATTTGTTTTTGTGTTCTTGGTTAAATTATTGTTGGTGGCCTTGTATTTTACATCTTTATTTCGGTCTGTATGCTGCTTTGAGTTTTATTTCAGTTTCAGTATTCATATTAAATAATATTTGTATATTAGTCCTGATTTGTTATATTATTATTATGGTACCTCTAAAGTTTCTGTTCGCAATTTGGTCCTAATTTACTATGTAGGATTAAATACTTTTATTAGAATTTTAATTTATCATGTTTGTAAATGTTTCATTTATTCATCTCTATATATTGTGCTTTGGGTATAATTTTTAGTTATTCTCGTATTTGTAGGGTATTTTTAATCTTGGTAGTTGGTTTAGAAAGTTTGTATTTTGGTCCTTTATTTATGAGTATGTTTAGACCTTATTTTTTTATATAAATCATCATTGTTTTCTAAAATATGTAAATGGAAATTTCATTGTGAGAGAAATCTACGAAAATATCTCCCAACTACAAGGGAAGGTATCTTTTCGAGGATTTTTCGCATAAATGTTTTTATTCAATAGTTTTATTCGCTTTAGTTTATTATGCTTGATTATTTTTCGCCTATTTTATTTTTTGTTTTATTTTATTTTGTGAAAAATGTGAAATAATGTCATTTTGTGAGGGGAATCTATGAAAAAGTCTCCTGACTATAAAGTAAGTGCATTTTCAAGGATTGTTTGTACAAAATGATGTATTTTTACTTATAAGAATAATTATAATATTTTATTCTATAAAAAATCTTTCGGACTATTAATCTTTTTGATCCATTGCATCCCTTATTTTAAGTTGTTTTAATTGACACTTATTTAAATAAATTTGAATAAATAGAAGGATCATAATTTAAAAAATTTTCGAAGTTTATAATTTTCAATATTTAAACAACATATAATCGTTCAGGTACCAAAATTTGGCGTTATGGGTACTCTTCCCCACACGTAATCCACTTCCGAACTCTTAAAAATGAATTTTGGTAAAGCGCAGACAATTTTTGTCGTTTAAGGTTTCCAATCTACCTAACTTAAATGTTGGTGACGACTCCAAAATTGAATTTCATCGCATTCCCCGAAATTAAATTTTTTAAGTCTAACGGATCCGAGGAAGATGTTATGACACAAGTATTGATATATTTGAAGCATTTGATGAGGTAAAACCAGTTATGTTAATGTCGTATATCAAAGTAAGGAATTTTCTCGCTATAGATTTGTATGTATATGTTGCCTTCATCGCAGTGATTTCTTCTGAAAAATGGTGGGAGCTTAATCTACTATGGCCCATTAGGTCAAGATTCCTGTAAAGTTGTAGAGTATTTTGAGGTTGGTTCAAGTTCAACCACCCCATATCTTTCCATTCTCCAGTAACTCCATTACTCTCGATCAACCTTGACCTTATGCTATCTGAATTCTTACTGAGAGTGTTCCTGGAGTGCCCAAGATTAAAGACAATTGTAATCCAACAACATGGATGCGAGGTAACATCCCCATCTATAGAGGCTGAACTAGGAGCAGATTTTGCAGAAATTTAATGAAATCTGCTTTATATGAGTGACTTCTGAAGATACTAAATTTTTTACCCATTTTATTATTATAATATTATCATAATTATTATTAAAATAAATATATATTATTATTATTATAAAAAAAATAATAATAATAATTACAAACAGGCCCAGATTGGACCGACCCAATTACAAATGGCCCAAACAAAACCTAACAGATTAGGGTTTCCCTCTTCCCAGCCGCCTCAGCTTGCTACCGTTGGATCTGGCAAGATCCAACGGTCCAGAGATACCCAACAAGGAAACCCTAGGGTATCATAACCCTAGGGACATGTCCCAGCTGCCAGTGCCACGCCGCGACGCCGCCGCCTTGCTGAAGAATCCAGAAGCTTTGATGTTTCAACACCAGCCGCACAGTCTCCCCAAATGGTGAGTCACCACTGGAAGTCCGGTGACTCACCGAAGAACCCCTTTTGGGACCGGTCCGAAGCTATCATCGGTGGTAGCTATAAAAGCCACCGAGCCCCTGCCAAGAAGAGAAAAAAGAGAGGAAGAACCGAGAAAGAGAGACAGACGGAGAGAGACAGAAACAGAGAGCAAAGATACAAAAACGAAGAACAAACAACCCACAACTAGCAGTAACCAAAACAGAAACAAAAAAGAAAGGAAAGAAGCTTACGAGGAAGCCACCGGACCTTTTTAAACGTCACCAAAACCTTCGAAAACCGAAGGTATTTCTTTAGATTTGCTCCGATCAAGAGCTATTTAGGAGAAAAAAAGCACCGGAACCGTCCTTAGGACGGTCCGATCTACATAATGATAAAAAATAAAATTTTCCGGCCACCGGATGCGGTGGCCGGCGGTGAGGGTCACGGCGACAGACGGTTGCCGTCTGGTGACCGGCTTCCCTCCGATGAGGGAAGCTAGAGAGAGGGGAGAGCGTTTATTCTCTCTCAGTTAGAGAGAGAAATAAAAAAAATGAAATATGGCCCGAAGGGCCAGCTGAATTCGGCTTTAATAGCCCTTGAATGACGTCGTTCAGGGAGGGCTATTCGTGTAATTATTTTAGTCCTTTATATTAAAATAATATATTTAGGGTAAATAACAGATTTAGTTCGTTAATTTTAATAATTAATATTTTAATCCGAATAGTTTGTTTTAATTTATTTTATTCTATATCCGAATTTTTATAATTTTTTTAGTCACTAAATTAATAATAAGAAAATAGCATGTTTAATCCCTATAATTTGATTAATTATGAATTAGGTATTTAATTTTAATTTACTATAATTTAGTCACTAATTTTAAATGTTTTCATTTATTTTACTGCTTTTAAATATATCGTTCTAATTGTATTTTATTGTTTTAATTTTACTTGTTTATATTTAAATATTTTTATTATTATTATGTAGTCATAAATATATAATAAATAATAATTTATATTTTTTTCAATAAATTATTTTAATATTTATTTTTCAATATCGAAGAAAAGGGCAGTCTTAATACAACTGGATGTCCTATTCTGGTATTTTAAAATTAAATATTATAAAAAAAATATTATTTAATTTTATTCAAATTAATATTTAATATCAAAGAAAGAGCTGTCTTAAGGCACTTAGAAGTCCTTTTCCGATATTTTTAAATATTTTTTATATAATTTTGAAATAATAGGATAAATTAAATATATTTTGAATTTTTAAATTTTTAATAATAGAGACAATTTATAATTAAAAAGTACCAATTTAGACGTTGTAGGGGTGCTAATCCTTCCCTAAACGTAACCGACTACGAATCCCTTTTTATTATTAAAAAGAACGAATTTTTGGTTATAAACGCATATCAGTTCATTTTTTAATTGATGTTTTCTTAAAACTCTTTAAAAAAAATTTTTAGGTATTCGACCTACCTGACCCAAAAGGCCGATGGCGACTCCCAAATTATTTTCAAGACCATTTATTCACATCAATTTTCCCGCCAAATAAATATTTCGTGCCCGGACGAAAACGGGTTACGACAGCTTGGCGACTCCGCTGGGGATGGTCAAACTTTTAAAATCAATTATAATTGTCTCTAAAATTTATATATTTAATTTATAATTTTTTCTTTTCAAATTTTTTATATATTTATTATTATAGTATGTATATATTTCCTATTAATATTTTTTATTTGCAAGTATTTTATTTCATTATTTATTTTTCTGTCAGAGGTTTGAACATTTCTCCTCACACACAACACTTGCATTGCATAACATAAAGCTCTATAATTGAGTTGTCCCTTTTAAGTGGGAGTGAAAGCGACGTCTTCGTGAGAATTTATTCTCAGTGTCAGACCTAGCAAGTAACTTTCGGGGTTCATATGCTCTATGTCTTCGTGAGAATTTATTCTCCGTGTCAGGCATAGAGAAATGTATCCCCTCGAATTGAACTCGATCCACTTTAGTCTGTGATGGACTAGGATTGAGGGTTATAAACCCAAGGGGGCAATAACAAGGACAATTCGGGTACCTTTATTCTTAGATCTGAAACCTTGCATATAATAAACCCTAAAAACTCTTCCGGTCTGAAGTCATGCCGAAATTTTGTCCAAAATAGGTGTACACACAGGAGAAATGAATTCTAACTTTCCTGTTAATTTATTTTTTTTACTGATTAAATTACATGTAAATTTAAATTATTTAAATTATGAAAAAGCATGTTTAAATAAAGATATTTAGGTAGATATTATTGTTAAATTCTTTATTATGTAAACTAATTCATTTCTTTTTGTGTGTTCTTTATTTTTTTTGCATAGCATCATACAGGATAAAAGGCATTGATCCTCGTGTTAATTGTCTCATTGGAAAGCTTTCATCCATGGATAAAAAGTGTTCAAATCAAAATTCTAAACTCAGAAGTAAGACAGTGGGCTGAGGACTTACAAAGACAAGAAGGAGACAGTCTGCAGGATGATTATGTATCTGACTTGACCAGTTATGCTCCAGTTTTGCTAAAAGAAATGATATGCAAGATTTGCGAAGCATTTGGGAAAGTTGGGATTCAAACAAAAAATTGCAGTTTTATCAGACTTACGGAGACATCCCATATTTGCTCTATGTCGAAGTTGATGAATTACTCAGAGCCCTAATTCAATTCTGGAATCCAGGGTATAATTGCTTCACTCTCAATAAGGAGGACTTGGTCCCTACTATTGAAGAGTACACAACTTGGCTACATATAGAAGGGGCTTTGGAGAATCGAATCTATTCAAAGTCAATTAAAACTCAACCCTTTCGAGTTAAATTAGCAAAATTGTCGGGGTACGAGAAGAATGGGTGGCATCCGTACAAACAAAAAGGCGAAAGCGAAGGCATTGCTTGGACAACATCAAGGAACTTATTCAGAGTCATCCAGACACTAAAGTACGATTCGATCTATTTGCTCTGGGTATGTATGGTATGGTCATCTTCCCAAAAGTATTGGGATATGTTGAAGCTGCAGTGGTAGATTTGTTTGAACAGCTACCGAAAAAGATTAATCCTGCTTCTGCAATTCTAGCAGAGACCTTCAGATCGTTAAATGCTTGTAGAAAGCTAGGAGGTGGACGATTCTCAGGGTGTACCAGTTGTTATGTTTGGGTCCGTAGCCATTTCTGGAAGACAGAAAAGGTTTCATACCGACGCTTTAATATGGATTACTCACCATTAAAAATTTCTGAAGCAAGAATGGCCGAAAGAAATTAAGAAAGATATGTGGATTAATGCCTTTCGAAATCTGCAAAGTAATGACATTGTTTGGCGAGCCCCGTGGCAAATCCAAAGGGAATTCTTTTACAAATGTGGAGATTACAATTGGATAATGCTGCTCGGATTATGGGGAAGAATTGGATATGCACCACTTCTGGTCATAAGACAGTATGAAGGTCGTCAATTTGTACCTGTCACCGCTGGATTACATTCATCTGAGTTCGCATTCCACAGCAAAAATTATAAAAGAAATATCATGGAAGTCGTTACAGCTTGGAAAACAACTTTGTATCTGAGCTAAAGCAGCAAAAGAAATGCTAACTCCTGATTATGGAATGGAGATATGTCAGGAAAAATGAAAAATATTCCTCTACCAGATCAAATGAGGATATCTCTATGGAAGATCGCATTAAGGTGGTTCCATCAGAGATTGAAATCCTGAGAGCTGAGTTTGAAGCAGAAAGAGAAGGCTGGTCAAGAGAATTAGAGCAAATGAGACGAGATAAAGCTATGTTGGATGTTGATATTGACTTTCATTCATCACAATGTGCAATGTTGAGAGAAAACAAAGAAAAGGTTGATGATGAATTTAGAACATTAAAGAAAAATTACCAAGAGTTATATAAATCCCGGAAAGCATCAGGACCAAGCCAATCAACAGTACAGATAAGCAGAGAATTGAACATCGAGAAAAGTTGAGTTGAAGATCTGAAAGGAAAGAATAGCCGTCTACTCAAAAGCCTTGAGAAAGGAAAGTAAAAATGGAAGATTTTGAGGTCGACAGAAGAGAGCGAATTATAAAACACAAGGCTGAACACCGCGAGATCATGAATGAAATGCAAAGAGAAAGGGATCGAGCCAAATATTTAGAAGAGAAGAATGACATCTTTAATAAATTTGAAGGTGGAAAAATATCATGTTCAAGGGTTTTGAATCTGAAATGAACCAGCTGATTGCCGAACTTGAAACCAGGGGCCAAAAGATTGAAGAGTTCAATATTGAAAAAGAAAAATGGGAGTTGGAAAGAAAGAATTTCAACACCAAAATTGAGGTAGAGCAAGAAGTGGCTAGTAATTGGATGCAAAGATGCAGAAACAAGAATGTTCATATCCAGAAGATTAATCAAAGAACGCAAGAAGCACGAACAAAACTTGAAGAAGATCTGGATCAGTCTAGAAACAAAAACTCAGTTTAACGCTTACATTTTGCAACTTGAAGAATCATTATTTCAAGAAAAGG